GGCCCCGCGGCACAGCCGGAACCGCGGTTCCTCTGCGAAAAACGGGGGGATTTCTCAGCCTCCGCTACGGAAAAGAGGAGGATGAAATCGGCTTAAAATTTTATCACCGCATAGAAAAACCTCATGATGTAAGAGGGTTGTGTTGTTTTATTTTGTTTTTCTTCCTGCTTCCATAGGAACAACTGTTACGAGCTCTAGATTTCCGGAACAAGTTTGCTTCTCGCCCGTACTTACCTGCACGTGTTATACCTCCAGAAAGAAAAAAGGTGGGAGTTGCACAGGTGGTGCTTTCACAAAACAAACTTCCCTAGCAGTCTGACAAAGCGGACTTAGGTAGCTTCACATGCGTGCATGTGAGTACAGGGCTGGAAGAGCTACGGGGGGCGGTTTGGCTAATGTAGCTGTCACCTTGATTAGAAGACGGCTGTTGTAAATTACAGCTTTAACTGTGACTTAGGCCTCTATGCATATCCTTTGTGACCTACGCTAAGAGTTCGTTTACGCTTAGTAAGACTAAAACCAGGATTTTGTACATATGATAGCTGTTTTATATATCGTTGCTGTTCTGCACTTGAAACCTTTCACGGAAGACTCGGTGAAAGAGGACAGTGTGTTCCAGAGGCTGTCAGGTTTAGAATCCCCTTGTTTCCCCTGTGTAAGCCTGTTACAGGGGCCTGTGAGAGGACTGGGGCAGAGTGTCACTCGGTGGGAATGGCTGCTCCAGATCAGACTGAAGGTCCATCCAGAGACCCCATTTACTGTTTCTGAGAGCTTTACTTTTCATGTACTTTTCATATCCCCACTGAATGCATGCGAGTGTGTGCGCACTGGGGTGGGAGTCTTAAGATGACTGATAAATCAGGCGAGTTTTAAGTTTTAAAACTTCTAGACTGATGCATCACTAGTAACACACTGAATTACATGAATAACATGGAAATGCTCAGTTGCTGGAAATGCTGTCAATGGGTATCCCTACGTACTTAACAGCACTCAGTCCTTCTGTACATACACTGCAGGCTGCAACAGCACAGAGCTGATGCTCTGTCCATAGCACTCGCGGGTAACCCTCCACCCTCCCCCAGGCCAGCATCTTGTTCTTATGGAAGATGGCTGGGTTTCTAGACAACTTCTAACTTCCAGCTTCCTCTGTGGCTACCTGCTTCAGGGTGCTGAGGGATACCTTTCCCAGGCCACAGCAAGTGCCTTATGCTGTTGCTTGGCTCCCCTGCCTTCCCCTGACACCCCAGTTTATCAGCTGCTGCTTTTCTTAAAGACTGTACTTCAGTAATTTACTATCAGTTGATTGTTCTGTCACCTCTGTTTTCAACCAATGCCTGTATTTTGAAGTCCTTTGCTATAACAGACACTTCAGCAGTCTGTTATAATGAGGTAACAGTTACCAGGCTCCAGTTCAAGCAGCATGTTGTCATTACAAGTTGGTAACAAGGGTAATAGGCCAGGCTGGGGCCTTGCACAGTTAGCCTAAGGCATAGTTAGCCTAAGGCCTGTGGCTTGTGACTAGCAGTGACAATCCCTTTACTGGGCCACTGGGTACAAAAGTGCTTCTGCAGTTATACTATATTACTTTGCTTATGCTTGAATTCAAAACAGCCTAGTCCTAGGGTTTGTTTGGGCTCTGTTTTGGCCACACTAACCATCCTCATCTCCAGACAGCTTGGTGAGGGGGATCTTGCCAGTGGTGTGGCCTGTTCAAAACTGCAAATAGTATTCAAAATGCAGGTTAGCTATAAACATATTCAGTGTTACGGTTATATCTTCTGTTTGTTCCTGTTCCTTTCCTGGAATTTTCAGACATTCGAAGACAGCTTAGACTGCTGCTGAACATAAGAATCTGTTTTCATGAGGCTGTCAGTCATAATGCCAAGATCTTCCTGGGTGGTGGTGGTCAGCTAGCTCTTTCATACGTAAAGTTAGGATTGCTTTTCCCCTTTGTGGTGGGTTGACCCTGGGTGGATGCCAAGTGCCCACCAAAGCTGCTCTATCAGTCCCCCTCCTCAGCTGGACAGGGGAGAGAAAAATATAACCACAGGCTCGTGGGTCGAGATAAGGACAGGGAGATCACTCAGCAATTAGTGTCACGGGCAAAACAGACTCAACTTGAGGAAAAAATGTAATTTATTACTAATCAATTCAGAAAGGAGTAACTAGAAATAAAACCAAATCTTAAAACACCTTCCCCCCACTGCTCCCTTCTTTCCCAGGCTTAACTTTTATCCCGATTGCTCTCCCTCCTCCCCCTGAGCGGTGCAGAGGGGGAACAGGGAATGGGGCTTGGGGTCAGTTCATCACTCTATTGTTCCTGCCGCTCCTTCCTCCTCAGGGGGAGGACTCCTCACATGATTCCCGTGCTCCAGTGTGGGGTCCCACTCAGGGGAGACTGTCCCCCATCACTTCTCCAGCAAGAGTCCTTCCCACTAGCTGCAGTCCTTCGTGAACTGCTCCAACGTGGGTCTCCTCCATGGGGTGCAGTCCTTCAGGAACCGACTGCTCCAGTATGGGTCCCCCCACGGGATCACCAGCAGCAAACCTGCTCCAGCGTGGGCTTCTCTCTCTCCACGGGCCACAGGTCCTGCCAGGAGCCTGCAGCCTGCTCCGTTGCAGCCTTCCCACAGGTTCACAGCTTCCTTCAGGCATCCACCTACTCCAGCGTGGGGTCCTCCACAGGTTGTAGGCAGTCATCTGCTCCACCATTAACGCCCATGGGCTGCAGGGGGACAGCCTGCCTCACCATGGTCTTCACCACAGGCCGCAGGGGAACCGCTGCTCCGGCGCCTGGAGCATCTTCTCCCCCCACTTCTTCACTGAGCCTGGTGTCTGCAGAAATGTCTCTCACGTGCTCTCACTCCTCTCTCCCACTGCAGTTACTGCTGCCCATAACTTTTCTCTTTCTTAAACACATTATCGCAGAGGCGCTACCACCGACGCTTGGCCAGCGGTGGGTCTATGTTTGAGCCGGCTGGCGTTGGCTGTACCAGACATAGGGGAAGCTTTTAGCAGGTTCTCACAGAAGCCACCCCTGTAACCCCACTGCTACCAAAACCTTGCCACACAAACCCATTACACCCTTTTATATCACATTATGTTTATCTCCACTGAATTTTCATTTGCAGCCTTATTGTCTGGTCCCTTGATTTCTTTTTTTTTTTTAGGATCCTTTTGCAATTCTTCATGGTAAATTTTCATCTTCAGTGCCCTTCACATTTACCACCTACCAACACACTAGTGCTGCCATGTTTCATTTTTATTGGACTCCAGGATTTTCCAGTGCTAAGCCAAAGTATGATGAGGGCTGAAACATATCTGATTAAAGGTCTGTCAAATGAGACAAAGCTGATTAAACTGAGATAAAGCAAATGAGGAGTGTCAATACTCATTTGCTAAGTTTTTTTCACACTTATTTGACAGCATTTGCATTTTTCTGTTTATTTGGGATCCAGAGCTTTACCTGGAGTCTTCAATTGAAAGCAGACTAAGGATATTTTCTGTGTGGTGATCAGGTATAAGGACAATACAAAGGAAAATCTGTAATTTTCAGGCAGAACTTCTACAGGTGGTTAGAAAGGCATTCTCTGTCTTGACAGAATGTTTCTGGTTGCAGAAGGTGATTAGTGCATTTTCTAAACCCTGTCTTCTCTTTGGGCAAACTTTAGTCTGGGATTTGAGGTAGATGCAGTGCTTATTTGGAGTAATTTGTTGAGAATTCGTTTTTCTAGAAGGGGGATCACAATGGCACATGCTGTGAAAATGTTTTTTGTTTGGTTTGAACAAAAGTGCTAAGTGAAGCAGCTACCTGTACTTGAATATCCTGGCAGTAAGATGAGAGTATTCTTTTGAGACTTTCCAAATGTTGTATTGTACAAATCTAAAATCTTTATTATATCTTAAATTCTTCTTCAGAAGCATGTTTTATCCACATCCTAGCAATAGCTGTGTAACTTAATCTGCGGTGCTGCAGGATTTAGTAAGATACCTAGCTGCAAAACAATTTCAGTAAGTTTCCTTTTTGGTAAGAACAGATAAATACATTGCATGCCATTTTACAAGCTTGTTACAATTTTATAAATAAAGAAGAGGTTTCAGAGCATAAGGGGTTTTAATGTACACAACTTTGATGTGGGCTTTCCGTGAAGTCTACTAATAACTGATACGATCAAGATAATTTAGGCTCTCTCTTCAGTGTTTCTTAAGCAGTTGGAAACAGAAATATCTACTGTCTATGGGCAGTTGTGCCTGGTCAGCTGGCCATATACCTTGCTAGTTTATGAATGTATATTAAATTCAAACATTATTGCTAGACAGAATTCTGTTGGAACAGAAGGAAGCAGATGTGAAGGTTAGATATTTTGCTTCCTCTTGAGTTCATATATGCAAATAAATACAGTTACTTGCCCTACTAGGTTAGATATTTTGCTTCCTCTTGAGTTCATGTATGCAAATAAATACAGAGTAAAGTTACTTGCCCTACGTCACCTTGGAGAGGGACTGCATTCATTTAAATGTAAATCCTCCATTGTAATTTCTAGGAAGGAGGTAATTTTTATCTTGCTGCGCATTCCAATCCTTCTTCTTCTGTTAGATTCTTTTCAGTGATATCTTAGAAATTAGATGGCCTGACCCTACTACGGCTGATCTGATAAGATATACAGACAATGGCAGTGTGCGCATCTCGTCAGTAGATGGTTGTGCTCACCTTTACCTGTCAGAATTGCAGCAAGAATTTACAGTGGAATTCTTATGCAAAGTCAGCCAATCATCTGCAGCATCCTTATGCTCCTCTCAAAAGAACAGCAACTATCAAACCGAGCATCAGTATGGCAAGTCAAGTAAAAATTCTATTGCAGAAATGTCATGGAAACAAACTGGAATAGAGAATAAGAAGAATGGACATGGTTGTGCTGAAGGTCAATACAGAGAACCAACCAAACCAGAGGACCAAAAAGGCAGAGACGGAGTCCCTTTGTTCTACGCAAATTACTCTTCTGAATACACATGGGTTACACAGCGTTGGTCTGTTTCCTCCTACCCGGAAGAATGGAAGTACCCTTTGTCATTGGCACTAATGTGCTATAACTTACATACTGTTAAGAATGTAATGAAGACATGTGAGAAAAGCAACCATACGCCTATAGAAGCTGATGTTTTAGTAGACCCCAAAACACATGAACCAGTTTCTCTTTTACCTAAAGCTTTGCCACTCAGCTGCAGAGCCCCACATTTACACAGGTAATTTAAGCTGTTTACTTTGTAGTTGTTAACATATGTTTTACGATTCTGCAATTTGGAACTTCAGCTCTAGCAAAATAACTGAATTTAGCTATAAAAAAATATTTTTTAATTCCTTTTTTTTTTTAGAAATTTCTTGAAACATGCAATTTGTGAAACCAATGTTCTGTATCGTACTATAATGGATATACAGTAATTAGTACAGAGAAAAAAAAATTTTGTTTTCTGACATGCTATATAAATATGTAAATGAAAAAGAATACTGAAAAAAGAACACAGGTTTTGGGTTGGTTTGGGTTGTTTTCATTTTTGAGAAGATAATACTTCTGAGACACGCTAGTGGCATATGCTTTCTGTCAGCACCACTAAAAATAATCAAAAAAAGCTTTGCAGGTTTGAGAAAACTAATTTAGTAACTGACATGGCTAACTAAGGAATCAGAGGACTCTGAAAATATGTGGCCTCTTTTCCTTTGGATAGGTGTACACGCATCTCTTCTTGGTGCAGAAACCGTTACCAGCACACAGCCACCCCCACCCCCGACCTTTGGACTCACTGAAGCTTTTACTGTATTTTATACAGGTGGACTTTCTGTGGCTTCTTTCAGAATCAAGATGCTGAAAAGTATTCATGCCCTCAGCTAATTCAAGTTGTATGGTGCCAGGGTGTTATTTATAGGTATGTAAGAAATGATGCATCTCATCTTTGCAAGACTTCATTTGTGTGGGAATTAAGCTTTAAGATGAAATGTCTTACTTTGTCCCTTTCTTGCTCTTTGAGAAATTGTACACAATCTTCATGTAAGAGTCCATTCATTTCTGCTGTTTGTTCATTTGACTTCAGATTTTCTAGTACAGTATATTTCCAGGTCTGAAGGTGAGTATGTCTGAAACAAACAATCTGAAATCATGTTTAAGGCTCTTAAAGAAATTATCTGATTATCTGATTTCTTAAAGGTTTACTGGACAGCTGGAGCTCCCACAGACTTCACTAACAATTCCAGTGCTTGGTTTCTTTGCAAATTACATTACTCTTTTAGATGATGAAGATTTCATGCTTTGGAAATGTTTGTCTTGGTGACCTACATAATTCACATGTTGCGGGCAGCTAAACTGTGGATTTTCCTGGCGAATCACCTTGTCCGTATGGTTTAAAAAAAAAAAAAAGGCTTTTTTTTAAATTGCCCTTTCAAATCTGTTATGCACACTTCAAAAATGCTACTTGCTATCAGCATCTAAAAGTCTTCGATAAAAGCATAGCTGGTCTTCAGAGCTTTGCTCTTCATTTTTCTAAGTGTAATTCCTAAATTTTCATCTCATCAGAACAAAATGTTTAGCGGCTGTTCGGTAGTATTCCTCATTTCTTTGGAAGTATGGTGAGTAGCCATACTTAGTGTTACAAGTCCTATTACCAAAGTCCAGGCATCTAACCACAGAGCTTCAGAATTGGGTCATTAAATGGATTTTAAGCACCAAGATACCATGTGGTTATGAGAAAAAGACCATTGAACTTGGTGAAAAACACACAGCTGCAGTGGAAATGAAGACCGTCAGGAGTAGTTCAGTCTGGCAGTTCTCTGTGTACACTAGGAAGGTCTGGTCTCCTAAGAAAATTGGATAGTTGGGTTTTGCTTTTTAGAATCACTATATTTTGTGGTCAGTGGAATGAGCAGCTCTTGTGAGATGTTTACCTCCCACCCCCAGTACACATGTGCAAAGAGCCTGGTAATGCTGATCTGGCTTAAAAGAAATAATTGGTACCCTCTGCTGTTTGTGAGAAACAGTAGAAACTTTTTCATGTGAGAATTGTGTTGAAAATATGTTGCTGCTTAGTGCTTTCTTCAAGTGTACTAAATTGTTTGCTTCTGTAGTGACACAGCATTTTAAATACTTGTTAAAAATCTTGTTATTTCTCTTAGATTTATCCATGGCACAACAGACATCATAGAAATTTATCCTGGTGATGACTCATTTTTTAAGTCAGAGGGAGCATTTTTGGGAAACTATTTTGTACATTATGCAATCCAAAAAGAAACAAAAAAGGTATAAAACTATTTTAAAATATGTTCCAAATTTCTTCAAGTTAGCAGTTTAAGGTATTTGGCTATGCAGTCTATAGTGAAGTCCCTGCATTGATAATCACTATAATGACTGAATCAAGCAATCAGTCTTACAAAAGTGAGATTATTCCTTCTGTTTCAGAGTGTATTTTTGGAGATTATAGGCACAATAAAGAAAATCTTACTCATTGTAACATTTGTTTCACAAGCTCAAGTATGTACAGCAGTAAGGTTCTACAATAACCATTTCTCACTAATTTAAATGAGAAGTTTAGTCTTCAAAACTAATATATTGATTAGAGTTTAACCTTTATGTTCTTGAAGGTGTTTTGGTTTTTACTGTATGAAGACAGAATTTAGAAGATGAAGGTTCTGTTCTGGCTTTGCCACAGACCAGCTGTTCAGTGCTGGAGAAAGGGGTTTGCCTCTCTGTGTCTGTCTATTAGTTTCCCCAGAGTAGATATCCTCTCAAGTGCTTATGCAGTGCTTTGTATTTTTAAAGCAGAATTAAGGGTCAACTTTGTACCCTTCAAACCTAGCCTTTAACTTGACTCAAATGCAGTTACTCAGTGATGAACTACAGTCTGCTCGCTGATTAAGAGAGCTTTCTGGTCTATACTGAGTGCATGGAAACTGTGAGTGTTTCTTCCCACAGAATTAGGCTTAAAGGACACAACAGCATTTTTTTACTTTTCAAGGAGATAGTTATCTGTGTTCTGGGACAAATTTATATGGGATTATAGTTGCTTTCTGGGACAGAAATTTTGTATCTTCCAAGCTCTTAATACTGTTTTCATACTATAGTGCCTGTGACTAACTCATCTCCTTTCTGCTTTTTACTGCAGAGAGAAGAAAAGATGTATTCGGTAAACAGCCTACCTCCTGATGTACCAGGAAATCCATACTCTATATCCTCCATTATTACTCAGGCAACCAAGTAACTTTACTTCTTTTGTTACATTAATTCTTCTGACTTTGAGAGTATTTAAAATTATACATAATACTTATTATGACATTAAGTATAAAAATTAAAGGAATTTACATTAGCACTGAGGACGTAAAAAATATCTAAACAACTGTTCAGAAAATATAGTTTAGTATGAAATACTTAATATTTTGCTTGGGTTTTTTCTCCTCAGAATACTTCAGTACTGCTACAACACTAAACTATCATTAAGTCATAACTATTATCTCTGCTGCTGGAAAACGGTACGTAGCTGAAGATTTATAAATCTTTCAGTGTTATAAGAGTGATCATACAGGCTACAGGGAATAGGACCTAATCTAGAGGGAAGAACGGTGAATGTATCCTCAAAGATCAGAAGATACATATTTGGGAACCAAAAGCATGCAGTGTAAAGGTATATTTGTGAAGCAGAAAGGAATTGCATGATAGAGCGAGCTGGTTGTAGTCTGGAAAAACAAGTGAATTGAAAATCTGGGAGAGATACAAACAGCTGTAGTCATATAAGTAACCTTTCCTCAAGTTTTTAATGTGTTTGTTTGGTTCTAGGTACCTGAGACAGATGGACGAGAAATGTTGCCAGTTTTGCTGTATGAAAAGGTTATTCCCAGCACAGGAAGACTCGTTGTGTACTCAGATCGTAAAGTCCATGCTGCTTTTTGGGATGGGGTGACCTTGAATATGGTCTGGAATTTCAGCTCTTCCTGTAGTAAGATCCAGGTAACTCATGTGTTAGAGGAATTACTATTCTTAAGGCTCTTCATGAAGAAGTGTTACTAGGAAACACATGAGGAAGCTAAATAAAAGTTTTGATGCCTGTAAAAGTACAAGCCAAAGTCTTCTGAGAGATTCATAACTCACAACAGTTTGCTGCTGTGAGTTGCTCTTGAGCTTGTATAGTAGTCTAAATGAAAATAGGAACTATCCACAAACACTATCGTTAATGTATTGCCAGAATTTTAACCAGAAATGAGGAGGAAAAGTATTTTAGTGAATAACTGATGCCTAAAGAGCCAAATGAAACTTTATACTTTTAAGTCGTCACTCACGTTGATCAAAGAAGGGAATATTTGGCTTTTATTTCAAAATGTCTGTAATTGAGTAAATAGATATTGAAAAATTACTCAGATAAGTAGCCTTGTGTATATGGTATTCCATTTGCATTTTTAAATCTACTTAATATAGAAGTAAAAAGATTATGTTGATTTTTGCAGAATGGTACTACAGAGAAAATTATATGAGTGTGGGCTTCAAGGTTGACTGCTGAGACTTTTGGCTTCTGTGTCTTTTCTTATTACCCTAAGGTGACAAGACACAAAAAAGATGTAAAGTGTCTGAGGATATCTCTGCTATAAACAATATAAATATGGTAGTGTGTCAAAAGATACAGTATAATTTCCTGATGTGAGCTAGCTCCAATCTGTATACTCATGATAAAAGGGAGAAGAACTGAAAATTCTACAGGTTTGGAAACATTTCTACACACTTTTAGAAATAATTTATTCTTGAATAGCACAAAATGAGTGTTGGGGCCATGCCAGGTGTTCTTTTTTTCTTCCCCTTGCATTTATCATAGCAGACTATACCAAATTCTGTCCTCAGCAAAACACAAACTTTTAAGTGTTTGAAGTGGAATGTTCATAGATTATTAATTCTTAAATTGCCATATTATACTTGCTATTTTTTCTTCAGACTGCAGCAGAAAATTAATTCTTGTAATTTTTTTTCTTCTAAGGTAAATGAAGATGTAGGTTGGTGTAAGGTAACTACTCCTGATGGGGTACAGCAGCTAATACAAATAAGTCGTCCTGGAATCTATGAAAGGTATAACTAATTTAAACACTTTAAAGTTAAATATCAAAGAATTCTGTACAAATCATTTTATATGAAGAAATAGTGTTTACTGAAAATATATTGGAGGGGAACCAAACACATAATGATAAAAGCTCCATCTTACGTCTGGCAAAGATTCAGGACCTATATGACTGGGGACCACTGTATGCTTTCAGTCATTTACCAGCAGTCCTGACTAACTGGTGAGGTCCCAATGCACTGGAAGTTGGCAAATGTGATGCCCATCCACAGGAAGGGCCGGAAGGAGGATCTGGGGAACTACAGGCCTGTCAGCCTGACTTTGGTGCCAGGGAAGGTTATAGAGCAGATAATCAGTGAGGGCCATCACATGGCATGTACAGGACAACCAGGTGATTGGGCCCAGTCAGCATGGGTTTATGAAAGGCAGGTCCTGCTTAATGACCCTGATCTCCTCCTATGACAAGGTGACCAGCTTAATGGATGAGGGAGAGGCTGTGGGTGTTGTTTACCTGGACTTCACTAAAGTCTTTGACCCCGTTTCCCACATCATTCTCCTGGAGAAACTGGCTGCTTATGGCTTGGATGGGTGTACCCTTCACTGGGTTAAAATCTGGCTGAATGGCCGGGCCCAAAGAGTGGTGGTGAATGGAGTTCAATCCAGCTGGCGGCCTGTCACAAGCGGTGTTTACTGGGGCCAGTTCTGTTTAACATCATTATCAATGATCTGGATGAGGGGATTGAGTGCACCCTCAGTAAGTTTGCAGGTGACACTAAACTGGCTGGGAGTGTTGATCTGCTTGAGGGCAAGAAAGGTTCCATAGAAGGATCTGGCCAGGCTGGATCGATGGGCTGAG